ATGGTGCTGCAGTAGCTGCAACATAGTTAAGATTTTCATTACAAGACTGATTTTCTTCCCAAGCCCCCTCCAAAATGCCTAATAAAAGTTGTTTCAGCATCAAATTTGGCATGTGTGGTCTGTGACTAGCGGAATAGGAGTACGTTTGATTGAATAACTAGGTGTCGATCAACCCAGTGATCCTTACCTCCACAATTTCACTGCAAAACAAGTGTGTCATAGAAATCGTAAATGGTATTTATTAGAAGGGGCTTGGTGAGACATTCACTGAAGCAAAGTTGAACTGTTGGAAAGCAGCTTTTTAGAATTAGCATGTCAGATGAAAGCCTGCTGATGAGGGAATAATTTTTTTTTTAAAACCTAGTATCAGCAAATCTCACAAGGCTTTTTCCACCCTTGTCATGAGTTTCAGGGACTGCCTGTGGCTCACAGAAACGTGAAATACAGGAGGCACAGCAGAAAGCAGCTGTGATGTGCTACCTGTATTTCTGTATTTCCTGACAGAGACTTCCTAAATCCCAAATGGGTTCCCAACTGCTGTGCTGTCCAGGTGCCCAGATCCCACATAAGAAACATGCATATCTTGGGAAGAACAAAAGTCTTCTCCTTGGGTTTTCCCAAACCCTCAAGGCCTTCATCACAAGCGTGATAACGGGGAGAGGCACTGGCTTTCTGGTCTGGCATGGCTACGTGTGCTGCCTTGCTCCTCGTGTGTCCCATGTGCCCATCGCTCGTCCCACAGTGACTGGGTGGTGCGGAGGGTCAGAATGTGGAGTTTGAGGTCCACATCAAAACTTTGTACATAAGTAATTCTTAATTTTTGTTTTTAAATAGAAATCTAGGTAATGTTTAGAGCCTGTGCTAACAGGTGACAAACTTACTTAAACCCAAATGATTTGCATTTATTATTCTAATATTTGCCTTCAGAACTGTACACAGCTGAGAAGCCTTCTAATGGGTCAGTCTGCGAAGTAAGGGCTAAATTATTACATGAGAGTTTGTTCTTTCTTTTGTCTTATTACATTTTCAAACAGCCCTTGGATCTGCTGTCTGACCTTCCATCTGTAATTATGAGTTTAATTAGCAGTGACTTAACTTCCAGCTTCGTTTCTTGTTAACAAGCAGACTACACGCAGTTCAGATATTCTGAAGCTCAGGTTTAGGAGAGCTTGTCTGACAAGAGGTTAAGAATCATGCTGGAAAAATAGGACATGAAAAAGTAGGTTATTTGCAAATTCCAAAGAGTTCAAATTTAAGATTTTATCAAATTGATCCTTAACATTTGCACATGCTATGGAGGTTTTGAAAGGCATCTGTATATATGCATTCATGGACTGCATATGAATGCATGTTATATCTGCTTTTAAGTTCACAGCTGTTGTTTCATGATTTGGGATTTCCTTATTTGCATTTTAATCCCCGAATTTCATGTGTTTTGGTGACAGCTGAAGATTTACTGCAGCTTAGTTGGGGTGATAGTCTGGCACTTGGAAGACTTGGGTGCAAATTCTTTTTCTACCACAAGCTTTGTTTGATCTTGGCAAGCTTAGCCTCCTCGCTGCCTCAGTTCCCTTGCTGTACAACAGAGTAACAATTTTTTTTCGTATCTTATATGGCACATTGTCAGTTTAGCTGCTGTAAAGATGATGGGCAGAAATGACCATATTATAGTAGCTCTGCATGTATCAAAAAAAGATAGATTTTCTGGGTTGCATACAAAACAGAAACAATTTCAAAATATTTTAAAAGAAAACGAGGAAAGTATTTGGAAGATGCCAGCTAGAGGGAAATGAACAAAGGTTTCATCTGCAGTAGTTAAGTGGATTTGATAAGGTTGGTAGCAAGAACCTCACAGGAATCCTTCTGTATTTGCAGTGATTTTGCCTTGAAATTCCTCGTGCTTGAAAACAGCCTTTCTGTTGTTAATATCGTACATGGCTTTCTAAATATTTCATTGGATTTTCTTTTGTTATGTTTAATTTTGTTATGTTCAATTTGTACTATGTTTTGCAGCGTCAGTGCGGCAC